CAAAATTCCATTCAAATCTCATCCTCCAAAACCCTAATCTTCCGGCAAAAGTAAAACCTTCAACCGCCCCTGCGAGTTCACCGGCGTTCACTTCTGAGAGGAAACAAGAAATCGTAAAATGAAATAAAATTACAAAAACAGAGAAAGTGAAGTCGCGGAGTGAGAGAGACAGAGAGGTTTCTGGGGGAGGCGCTTTTTATGTGTGCGCTTTTAGAGAGTGATCGGATGAATTTGGATTCTGGGGATATATGACCGTTACGACTAAACCGGCGAGAGAAAGAAGTTGTTTAGCCGAGATTTGGGAGCATAACTGTCGTACTAGGCACCCGTGTTTGGGCTTTGCCTCAGACCATATTTAAATAAATATTTCTTTTTCGCTTTTTTTGTTTTTTATTTTTATTATTTTTTTATTTTTAAGGTTAATTGGGTACAAGCTGTGGGGTTTGGGGAATGGGGCTCATTTTTAAATTTCTAATTAACTCAAAATACTATAATTAGAAGCGGGGTTAGGACTTGACTTGTAGTACGATGGTAAGTAGGGGTATTTTGGTAAATCACATGAGAATGGTGACTAGTGAGTGAATTGCGCTAGTGGGCTTTGTACACGTGGCGGCGAGTTTATGGGCTTAGTTTGCACGCCCCGAAGGCTGTGCGTAACAGAGGAAAAAGGGAAACAAAATTGAAGATACGAATGTAGAGGAATATGAATCTTCGAAGAGACGTTACGCAATTCCTTTCTTCAACGTTGGTATTAAAAATTGGGCGTTTTAGTTGACCAAACATAGAAACTGCATAGTTTCTGGATTTCTATAAATAAAATCTTCTTCTCGTACCCAAAAAAATAACACACACGCACAATAATGAAGACATAATTAATTATTTTCAAATTTATGAATTTTTGGCCTTTCTTTGGCCAAACGAAATAACGAAATTATTATGACAAAACTTTGAATATGTAAGCTGCATTTTTATTAACCACTTTAACTCAATATGTATCATCATTATTCTAGTCGGCACATTGATACGTGTTCATGGGCATAACCATGATTCAACAAATACAAAGCAAATAGTTAACTATAATTATATAATACACATGTCAATTATTGACAAATGTAATAAAGATACACCTTGAGTTAACATATTTCCTAATATGTATAGCTTTCAACACTTTGCCACTCATTAAAGGTTTTGTTCTACTTTCTATTGGGTTCCAGGTGGGTGTTATCATAAGCTTGCTCCTTTTTTCTTGTCTTTTTTTAACCACATTTTAGCTATTGATAAATTGGGTTTACAGTATTTTCCTTAAAAAAGAAGGTGAAATTATGAAGGAAAAGTCACCAAACAATGTGCTAATTAGCAAAGTGATTTACAAGGCTAGCTTAGCTAACTTTGAATCTTACAAAAGTGAAAAAGGACAATCAACCTCCTTTATGCTTAGTAACTCCAACTCTCTTTAAGTTAATCTCAAGTCATTCAAAATCTTGCCTTGTTTTATATGCAATGATATCAGACCAAACCAACTCCCTCCCACCCCAATCCCTAATTTTTTTTAAAGATTAATATATATACTAATTATGATTACTTATGAGCCCACCGAACAAAACAAACTTTGGTGATGTGATTATCAGTCACCATTCACCAACAACTACATAGTTTTTTACATGCTAGTCAACATATATGGTATTTTTGGGTATTATTTTGTGTGTGTGTTTTTTAAAATTTTTAAAGCTAACATTGTTAGTGTTAAAAATGCCTTAAACTACACTATTATAAACGAGGGAGCTTTCTTACCAGACTTACCTTGCTTTTCTCTCAGAATTTCATCCTATATAAACTTGGACTTCACTTCCACTCTAAACCCACTATATGGAAGTTTACCGTTTTCACCGCCGTAATTAAAGAAACGTTGCTACAACTTCATACTTATCCATATACATGAGGGATTTTTTATTTTTATTTTTATTTTAAAGACATTTCTATTGAGAAAGGCTAAACTCACACACACTACACAGATGCAAAGACTCGAATCCAAAATCTTTTATGGGGGAGAAATTGCTCCAAATCACTACACTAGTGGGTCTTTGCTATATAGGAGGGATATTGAGATTAGGGTTCATGGTTGAAATATCAATTCCACCAACATTCCATTTATATATATTTCAACCTTGTTCCTTGTCTCTTCAATTTGTGATGGCCCTTTTCTTCAAAGAACTAGCTAGCCCTATCTATCATTCTTTCTTTTTCTCCTTTTTGTTTTCAATCCCTTCTCCAACACTCTATGTATTTGTGTGTGTTTGCTTGTTTCTAAAAATGAAAATTTTTTGAGACCACAAACTAATATGCATATGAGAAGCATCTTATAATGCGGACAGTGATATAACACGCATGCGAAACATGATTAAGATTTAAGGAGTAAACAGGACCACTTCTGAAAGTCCTTAATTCGTGGGCACTCAATTTCACAGAATTTTAACATGACTTCTATTCTAACTATCTCTATATACATACTTTGCCAGCTTACGCAGAAAAGTATAACTTGTTAATCTCTTTCGTCGAGAGATTAAATAACAAAGCAACCATGTTAACCGAGTAAAAAGAGCTTTGCCAAATAAGCAATTTATGCTTATAATTTTCTTACATATGGAAAACTGTTATTCGCACTCCAAAAAAAAAGATACTTTCCCTTGTGAGATATATTGTACGACCATCGCATCGCACCTATATTATTTTTGGGATCTTCATCGATTATGGAGTTGTAAATTAGTTTGGGCAGGAAAG